TACTAAGCCGTTAAAAGTGCGAAGACTTTTCACTGTCTTTGGATCCGGAATGTTCAGTATCGCTTCGACTTTAGTAGCCAGTGGGCGAATGCCCTTGTAGTCAATAGTGTGGCCCAGAAAGTCGAGTGGGTCAATTCCTATTTGACACTTTTGAATATTGATGGTAACACCATGCAGGCATAACATTTCGAATGACAAGTTCAAGTGCTTAAGGTGAGTTTCCTTGTTTGGACTGGTCTAATTACACGTATACAAAGTCGAGACCGTGAAATACTGAGTCAATGAAACATTGGAATGTTTGTGCTGCATCCCGGAGACCGAATGGCATACGTAGAATTTCAAACAGTATCATCGGGATTTGGCTATGCGCTTTAACCAAGTCTGTTTTCGAGAAAGTAGTTGCACCAGATAATGTTGCCGTCAAGTTGTGTTTGTGAGGCATTGGATAGAAATCGGAGTTGTTTTGGCGTTCACTCGCCGGTAATCACCAGTGGGTCGCCAGTCGTTGCTATCCTTTTTGGTACTATATGTAGCGGAGATGCCATGGCGAATGATGCCAAGGGTGAGCTTATAGTCGAACTCGTTTCTAGCGAGTCGTAGTTTCTCAGGGGCAAGTCGTCGTGCTTTAGATGTCAAGGGTTATTCTGAGGTGATGATGTGATGCACAACATTGCTTGTTATGCCCGATAGATCGTGTACGGGCAATTAAGTTCCGGGTATTTATCACCAATCGGTTGGAAAGTTGGATCGAAGATTGCCTTCTTCTTAACGAGTGACAAGCTACAGCCTACGTAGGTGATGCCTTTAATAGACAGTCTAGTAGTACTGTCTATCAGTCGTTTTCGGCGGACGTCTACGAGAAATCATGATGGTTAAGTAGGTCTGTGCCAATGATGTGCATTGTAAGGTCAGCGAGGAGGAAAATCCACTGTAAAGGTTTGCGTAAACCTACGTTCGGATAGGTGTGTTTCCTACCAAACGCTGCAATTGGTTTTCCATTTGCAGCCTGTAAGTTGACGGTAGGTTCCTTATGTCGATCTGCTGCTGTAGCAAGAGGGACGCTGACTTCGGCGCCTGTGTCGACTAAGCACCTAGACTGGTTGATTAAATCACGAATGTAAAGTAGGCGACTAGTGCCACCGGTGGTGGTTGTCACTAACGCGAGCCGGTGGGATAGTTTCCCACAGACTTTGAGACATTGCAAAAGTTACAAGGTCTTCGGTAACATTTCGCTTCTTGGCCATAGGTGTTGTGATACCAGCACCAGTCAGGGTTTTTTAGTGAATATGGCTTGGATTTAGACCAACCACGTGAGCTTCGCCGTTGAGGGGAGTTTGAACTACGATAGGAAAAATTACAATTGACCTAAGCAGCTGATGGATGGAGTTGCGTAACTCTATAACTGCTGTGTCCCTACTCGAAGTCTGTTCAGCGATTGGCCGTTTTGTTATTTCTAGAATTTTATCTGCAGTAACAGCCAAGTTATCTATAATAACACCCTGAGTTGTCACCAGCACAGCCTGTACTGACTGTGGCAGTTTTGATAAGGGCAGTACTCTAAAAAGTCCTTCATCAAACCGACGTTGGCCAAAAGCTTCCCTCATTCTTGTTAGCAAACTCACAGACGACTAATCACATAACTCCACGGCGCAAAATAGTTCATCAATACGTTATCGATCGGTGAGAATGTTTCGCCTTAGGTTGCTTTAAGCAACTCATACGAGTTACTTACCTCTGGGCTCTACATCTGCACACTTACGCACTTGTTGAATTTCCGCGGTAAGGCGTGGAAAACTGCAGGGAACTGTGAACGTTCATAAGTTAACCCACGTTCGCTTAAACCAGACTCGGATATCTGAAACCACGATTCAGCATCATCTGGCCAAAGTGGTACGAGCTGAACAGTTCTGGCAGTTTCGCGAATACGAATGACCTGAGGAGTATGATCACTCATGATGAAATATATATAGTTTGAAAATAGTAAAAGAACAAATATATGATGGAACGAACTCACCGGATTTGTCTGTGTATCTAACAAAAATGAAGTTCGCGGTTGGGCCCACCATTTTAGGAGCTGAAGGTATTAACGTTCACGGATAGTACGAAGTGTACTAAAGCAAGATCTAACACCCACAACTTCTATGGTATTTGTTCTGCATAGACCAAAGGCAAAGCAAGACACCAGAATTGACCGCCCAAATTACGAGTTATATTTCGGGACCAAATCGGAGTGCGAGATGATTGCTTGGCTAACTAGAGATCGTGCACAAACGAACGTGATACGACGAAGCATGGATGCTTGACCGTAGGTCTTCAGCTTAACAAGTTGACTCAAACAGTGGAGGTCAGAATCCAAAGTTCACTGATGAATGCTGTGGCCAATAAGTCTAAGGAATTACCTGTCGCTACAGGTTGTTTTAATTCACTCCAATCAATATTAAACCTAACCCGTACTTCTCCTCGACATGCTTCAATTTATATGTGCGATTTGGGGCTATAATGCGTCCCCTGATAAATACTATTTTCAAATTTTCAGAGAACCTTCGATATTTCAGTCACCATCAATAACTTACTTGATACGAACCCCAGGATATGACGGTTTTGCCTGTCAAACAGTGCAGTATGGTGTAATGTTTCATATGTCATCAGATTTGGCGTGCATTTTGAGTCATTGTTTGCGCATTATATATATAAATTCATTGATGCACACTAAGAGACTTTACTGAATCTGCTCTAAAAATAAGCGCGAATCAGGGAATCGGTCATATCTGATGCAGTTAATGCAATAAGGGGAACATGTTTAGAAGTTGCTTCATTGAGATATGTTATATGGCGTCAGTGAAACAAATAGGCAGGAAGAAATGGAGATGGATTGGCCATACTCTGAGGAAACCATCAAGTGACATCACTAGACAAGCCCTTGAGTGGAACCCGAAAGGGAAGCGGCGAGTTGGTCGTCCAAGGGTGACTTGAAGGAGGTCATGTGAAGAGGAGATGAAAACGTGTGGGCAGACTTGGAGCCAGGTGAAGATTCTAGCAGAGAACAGAACGCAATGGAGACGCACGGCTGAAGCCCTATGTTCCTCTAGGAATTAAAGGATACAATAATAATAATAATATGGCGTCAGTGTTTCATGAAAGATATCACTGATAAAAACTTTGAGAGGAATAGTCAAAATGCAGAGAAGGGAAATCGTTTCCTGGAAACAGGGAAATTTCATCTGATAAAACCGACACAGACACAGTATTGTAAACCAACAAAGCTGAAGACAAATTATTAAGTTTTATCAAACAAAATAGTTGCATTATGTAATTAAATTTTTTATCACGTGCCGTTTGTGTTAACCTTAAGTTGGGAAATGGAAGCTAGCCTGTTGTGTGTTTTTCAAGGGAGTACATATTAGTTAATTTAACAACGGTAACAAATTCGCGCCCGGTTTCATTTATTTTCATTTCGGCCACATAAAATAATCAAATGACAAATTACATCATATTAACAATCAAGAAGTTTGACAGCAGTGCACATAATGCGGATCTCTGAGGACCGTATAAGTATGAATAAACATTTTGACTGTATATTGCTCACCATCAGCAGTAATACTCCTATATGGATCAAAGGCGTGAGAAATTCTGGCTGATGACCAAGTAAGACAACACCTTGATAGGAATAACACACATTATATAGCACACTGTTAGAGACTACACAACAGACCTACAAACAGTCATGGAAAAACCCGTCATCATGCTGACATATGAGTATTGCAGTCCATGTTGTCTTTTTTGATTTGTCGAGGGCATTTAACACTCTTCAGCATGACATTCTCCTTCCAAATACGAGTTGTGTGTGTGGTGGAGACTCGTTTGAAACACAGAATGTGGCTCTTGGGAGGCAAGGGCATTCTTTGCCAGCGTCACTTTGGTGCAAACATCTGGTCACTGTCGGCCCTTGGAGTATCAGACAGTTCCTTTTCAGTGCTCTTAATGATTTTGATACCCGACAATAACTCTCATGGTGTCCTTGCTTCCTGATGTTTCTTTATACTGATGATATGAAAATTAGGCAAGTAATAAAATGTTTGGGGTACAGATCGGCTGCAGGTAGACGCATAAATATTAGAAGATTAGGAAAAGGTGTAAAATAACTGGAAGATATGGTATGGATACAATACGATATACATTTCATTAGTAGACATTTGGGTAAGCTCACACATAAACGCATTCCAAGGTTGCACAAATTCTCAGGGTGACTAATATCATCGAATTTGTGCGGCTTGAATGACGTGCCGAAGACTTGCCGAGAAATCAAAGAACAGTTACAAAAGTGGCAATCCATCTAGCAAACAAACCATTGTAGAAGGATTACAGAAATCCTGAGTCCTTTACATAAAAGTTAAACAGTGACTTTAAAACCAATCGTACGCTAGAGACTGAATAGGACCATCAACATACACGGGTCTTAATATTAGAGAAGTATGGACTATGGAGTTGCAGGAAAGATGAAATACATATAAAAGTAACTAGGCAAGAATCCACTCCCAAGATACGCTGAACTAACAGCCATGGCTACTGCACTTTCATCCGAAAGCTTCAAGTGGAGGATAGATGAATACGCAGTAAGACACAGAGTGTGCCAAATAGGCCGTCCTCGCTGACAAAACTGAGAGGTAGTTCACACATACTGTACTCCAAAGTGGGTTTTAAACTAGACCCATCCCTTGAACACGCACAGTCCTCCTTCGCCAATTCTTCCGCTCACTCTGCTTATTCGTTCAGTTATTTTAGTTATCACTTTCAAATATTTATTTGTTTCTTCCCTCTTTTATTTTAGACTTACACATTCCCCACTAGTTATGCTCTTATCACTATTACTATCTCATTATCTGACCACAGTGGATGGCTAGTAGGCGAAAGGAATATCGACAACCACTACTCGGCCATGGTTTTAACACACTGAATACTGAAAATTAGATATAACCAATCCATCATACAACTCTCCTCAGAATCTACCAAGTTGCTGTAGGTGAGTGAGGTGAGGCGATGAACTACAGAAAAGCTAATCGATGACCAAGAGGCGTTTCCTCAATATCAAGAAGCGAGCTGAAAGAAGTCTATTTGTTTCATACTAGCTCGTGAAAAATGCGCTGTATATCATGCATTGAACATTGGGCTTTGGAGCATAGTTCAAAACATTTGCTTCCGCTGAAATGGACGAGAGGACTCCTCTGGTATCTGCTGGTAATTCCCACTTATAAATAACTCCTCAGTCCCGGATACTCGTGTAGGCCCTTCTGCCACCCGACCGGCCATCGAGAGGGCAATTACAAGCGATGGTGAATCTCAGGCTACTGTGAATTGTCAAGTATGCCGGCAAGTTATAACGTTTTCCCCTCGTGAGAGGCAAATGGTTGTTCGATGTCCTCACTGCTCTGAAGCTACGGTATTTAAATCTCTTACTGACACCTATTTTAGCCCATCAAAGGTCCACCTACAGGGAAGCAATATGTAAGATGTCCGTGCAACTGTCTACTGGTGTGCAATGAGTCCACAAGCAAGGTTGGGTGTCCTCGTCCAGAATGTCAAAAAGTCATCGTTCTTCGTGAGGTGAGTTGTTTGTTTGCAAGTAAATCTCTTGGGTGAGTGAGTGCTCCGACCTAAATATGTATTCGAGATGGTAATTATTCAGGGTTACTGGATGAAGTGTTTAAAATTCTCTTGGGTTTTATTGTTCTTGGAAGTCACATAGAGTTACCACGTACTCATTATTAATAACTCTCTATAGTCAGTAGTAGGGGAAAATATATGTTCCGGAAAACATAATGTTGTCGGGATCAAACTGTTAAGAATTAAATTTTCTAAACGTGTACATAAACTCCAATATTACACCGCATAATACCTCTAGATTTGAGGGAATCTACATCAGTTGTCCAGGTGAAGAACCACGACAGCTTAGAATTCGCACTACAGTCCTGTTTCGGTTCCGCTCTAGTTTAGGATCAGTATTTACTTGTCTGGTTCTACCCTTGATACCGTTATGGTTTTCAAAGAGATATATGGAAGTCTTGCTGGTAGAAGTCAAATACGAAGGTGCGATCAACAGTTGTCTGAGTGAAAATCCGATCACTGAAGTATTAATGTACTGGATACGTTTGAATTATACTAAATTGTATGTAAAAATATCAGCATGTTCCCTCGTTTTCCTGTGTGTTGCTGACTCATTGTCCTAATGTGACACTCAAGCTCCTAAAGTTCATTCTTGCTGCAGCACAACTGATGCTTTCAGGATGCACCCTTCACTGCGAGAGCTTCGCCATGGCTACTCGGCGTAACTTGGTAAACCTGCTAGTGTTTGTTTCTTTAAGAACTGGATTGGCGAACGAAAATTAGCCAGGTTAAGTAGTAGATATTGTATATGTAGCTCACTGGCTTAAACATTCAACTTTTGATCTATGGATTCTGGGCTCGGGGTTTACCCCACCTACTTCAATCTGGGTTGGTAGGTGAAATTTCACCTCTGACACGTGTGGCTCATGACACAAAATGTCCGTTGAGGGTGGGTCTGAGTTCTAGTTAGATGACAGATCCCTTCAGTGCTACTCAAATTTTGACTTTCGCTTAAATATCTGTTTTTCACAGTCTGCGGAGCATATTGTGCTACGTGGAGTATCGAATTTGTTGCTGTAGATGGCCTTTCGTGTCATTAGCCACAGGAAAACAACGTCCCGAAAGGCCTTTAGAATTCGACTCAGTCGACGATATATATCATTGTGACCACTTTGAGCAGGAGTCTTTCGTAGTGTGAACATTATAGAGTAGAAAGCAACATTTCAATACAGACATTTGACTCGTTTATTGTCCTGTCTTTCGAATATTCTAACAGAAATAATGGTTTCGGTGATCTGTCTTAATTCTAGAGAAGTTATGAGTATCTTGTTTGGAATTCCTTTGACCGAAAGTCGGTGTTATTTTAACGAACTAGTATTCCTTCACAAGCTGCTACTATTTGTTTTCATGTGGATATTTCATGAAATTTGGTAGTGTGAGTAGTTCCTGAGGCCACAAACTTTCCCTAGATTCTTGTAGGTATCCGTGTGTACGTAGGCTGCTCCTCGAATTTATATTTTCAAGTAATGCACATGTGTTTGTAGGTTTCAGGTAAAATTTGTTTGGCGCACGCCACATGTTATTCTTTTGTCAGATTACGCTTTAATGTGTTGGTAATAATCTTTGGGAACAAACTGTCATAAGTGAATACCATCAATGAAGCACTAGTATTATCATGGCATAATACTAATATATATATATATATATATATATATATATATATGAACTGTTCCGGAAAATATACTCACAAAGTGTATGCGAACACTGCTTTGTTATTCTATACAGTAACACTTTTTATGAAATAATGTTCTGAAAAAGTTGTGCTACTCACGTAACTACCTCATGTGTCTAACATTGTTGTGTTCATTGTAAGTGAGCCAAGTACATTCGCCTATATGCTCTCACTGATCGAATATTCATACTGCATATATGCTGTGTCTGTTTTAGATACTCAGTTTTTAATATAGCAAATTCAAACCTGTTCTCATGACGCCAATGGGTGCCATCAATCCTGAGATTTTGTATGCTGCTCATTGTGAAGAACATTAACATACACCCGTACTGGGCATCATTTAACTTTTTTGTTTGGTGGTGGTGTTTTCTAACTATAGTGTCTTATACAATAAACTCTTAATAAGCTATTCTTAATAATCGCTGTCTCACTTATCAAACCGTACTACTTTGGTGTATGTTTTTTCATTTCTTTCTTTCTGAGTGGAGCATAGGGCTTAATTGTTTTAAAGACTCAGTAGTGGCGTTGTTTTCACAAGGTAGAGTCGCTAGGCTCACGTCCAGTGTTCTTTTCCTGGAATTTCTATCGGCTACCAAACTAGGAGAGACTTAGGAGTACGTCAGCCGGGAATCTAAGCTGGACGACAAACATCCCACCACTGAACCACCGACACTATATGCATTGGGCGTATATTCCTGAAATGCCGATTAGCGTGTTATTGTTTCAGATTCTGAAAATGTGTTCAGCATATTTTGTTCGTACTTTTGTAATTTTAGTTTAATTCCGGTTGCTATGTTTTTTGGTATGCAGTATTGACTACCATAATCGAAGTGTTCTCAAGTAGTTCTACCATACTGACTCCCTTTAAAGCTGAATGACTCTTACTAATCAGATACTCCGAATTTATTTTAGTCGAATTAATTTGTGTCGTTTCCGCGATAAATGTTTACTGTCCCTTTATATTTGACATTGTGTTAGGAGGATGGTAGTGGTAATCGAGGTTTACATGTCCAAGGTACACATGGAACGTTTGGTATCCCACCAAGTCTGCGTTTAACTTGTGGAAGTTGCAATTTCCCATTTTCTATACCATCCCCTGAAACCTTGTCTGGTCGTACAAATGCACTAATTGCAGTCTTGTCTGGTAGAAATGCCTCTGAGGCAGCCGGTCTGATAAAAGCAAAATGTCCACATTGTCACAAAGTCACGTCTGTCGGTCCAGCCTACGCTCGTTCACGTTGGATCACCTTTACTATTTTCACTGTAATCGCCTTGATTATAGCAATCAGCGTAACTGCCGGGACCGCCGAAGCAGCAAAATCAAACAGTGCATTATATTTCCTTTGGTCGGGTAAGCAGATTATTTTTTGGTCGATTTGATATTTCCTGTACTTTTATAACTAGCACCAGCATTTGGAGAAACTCACGTCTTGACTCATTTCAGAGTTTCTATCGGCTAATTGAGTGGATGGCATTTTCGTAGAATTATCTTCATTACGTTACCACTGAGGTTTATATATATATATATATATATATATATATATATATATATATATATTAGCAAGTAGTATATTGCTGCACACTGCAATCGCTATGTAACGTACGATTTCCGTGTGTATTTCAGTGACTTAAAGATAACTTCAAACATGTAAATAACGAGTCTTAACCCCTCTCCACTCACTAAACTGCAAGAAGACAAGCAGTATTATCAACCACCATATACACAAATACATGCAAATAAAAGGTGTTATTGAGTATAGCTTCATTTCTTATCGGGATGCGCATTTAAAGTCAAAAATGGGTCAGAAAAGTTTGACCCATCTTGCTCTACTGAAAACAAGGATTATGAAATAATTACTGGAAGGTCATGAAATTGCCGATAAAAGTCAATCAGTAATACAACTTGTCAAAAGGTCATGTGAAATTACATATAAGGAAAATAAATTAGATTACTTTTACAATTTGGGTGAGTCATTCTACGTACTCCGAAGAAATTAAGTGGTAAATAGCGTTGAGATCCCCAACCGACACACTCCTTTACCTCACTAAACCACTAATACGACTGGTAAAGAGGGTATGAGGCTACCAACCCCATCCCGTTAAAAATAAACACCACTGCTATCGAAACTTCAAGCCTGCAGCTTGAAGCATTATGTTACACTGGGGACGTAAAGGAATACGCGCACGCTTGGAAACAGGAATATGGCTCATAAGAATAACAGATTCAGGATATGTATATAGTTAGGAATTTGGAAAGAAAAAAGAAGAATAAATTGCAAACGGAATTATTGTACAAGTAAAAAAGAGAGGATTACAACCTCTGAAGTAAAAGATGATGACTATTGGCATTTCCCGTGACCTTTTAGGACACAATATAACCGTATAGCTTTGATTGGAAGAATTATTCTTTGATGACCAATGTCTTTTTGATACACTGTTGCCTCTATTCTAAGTTTTGTTCTTTGGGAAACAACATATTTATGAGTAAATGGAGAAGTGGTACTTAATTTTGTTCTTATGTTTTTCCTTGTTTCTCTACTCCTGCAATGTTTTTCCCCCATAGCCCATTTCACTAAAGTTTTTATTATCAATGATGTAATCTATGGTTGTTCAAACAGAGAGGCGATAAGTCTTCATTAACGTGGGACTGAACAATTCACATTCATAACTTGAGACCAGTTTCACTGTTGACAGTCTAACGCTAATTGAGTTACACTAGGACTATTGTTCTCACATTCTTCCACTCGTTAATTTTCTATCGTGTTATTCATCAAGTTGAACCTCCTACTTGAATGTTTCATAACTTGTGCTACTACAATGCCATAGATAAATTGTTTCATTGGATAGTACCTTAGTATTACGATAGGAAACAATAGTACTTATTTTCACTTTTAATAATGAAATATTATTAGTCGAAAAGACATACCATTAAAGGTAACGTTTTCTGCCTCCGTGTACAGGGTTGATTCACACTCGCTGATCCTTTGGTCAATATGGATTACACAGACAATACTATCGAAAGAGAATGTCAATATAATGTAGTTGTTGCGTGAACTTTTCTGCATTCTGTCGTAAAAATATGGGACACTGACCAGATGTGATACTGTAAGACCGTTCGTGCTCTACTTTGCTGAAACTTTCCTGAATTAATTTTATTATTGTTTAATAACAGCAAACTTGGTTGTGGTAAATAGGCAGGCGTGAGTGATTTTACGTAAACAGGCACAGCTTATCTACGTAAGCTTAAGCCGTCTTGCAAGCCGACTCATTTATTATGCTACGCTTACTGTCTCTGTACCTAGTAAATTTTTCAGCCTTCACTTAGGTAGACTGGTATTATCTGATTGTTATCGTACTATTTTAGTTTTAACACATACATGCAACACTACCATGTATGATTATGCACAAATATTAGAATGACAATTCAAAAGGACATTAAGACTGTTTTATTCGAATACTTAGTTGGAATGCAAGACAAGTTCTTATAAAACTTCATGTGTGGTAAGTAACCCTTGCCAGTAACCAATTTACAATTGCATAGATCAAAGTCCCTAAGACGAGTCCATCTATTAGCTAATTGTCGATAAGCTTACGCCTTATTAAAAGGATTACACGACGCATATATCAGGCATTGGGATCACACTTCGTTTTTTATGGTTGAAGAATGTAACAATATCCTGGCTCTTTTATAAAATTGTGTGCAGTATGTGAAACATCAGCAACAGGGATCTTTGGGAACGAACCAACCAGGAACCGATTGTGAAACAAATAGGCAGGAGGAAATGGAGATGGATTGGCCATACTCTGAGGAAACCATCAAGTGACATCACTAGACAAGCCCTTGAGTGGAACCCGAAAGGGAAGCGGCGAGTTGGTCGTCCAAGGGTGACTTGAAGGAGGTCATGTGAAGAGGAGATGAAAACGTGTGGGCAGACTTGGAGCCAGGTGAAGACTCTAGCAGAGAACAGAACGCAATGGAGACGCACGGCTGAAGCCCTATGTTCCTCTAGGAATTAAAGGATACAATAATAATAATAATGTGAAGCATCAACTTGTAAGTTATTATTGGAATCTTTTTAACGAAAAATGTTTATAAGTATCAACGTTAACTGTTGTCCCTTATTTTGTTTAGTAATCACCCATTCAGTACAAAGTCATGATGACCTCATTTTTCCTTTTTTCTCCACCCTGTCATTCACTACTCATCATGAATAATAATGATAATAATGGATATTTCTGTTTTAACAGTTCTCTATCTGATCGCTCTAGCTCTGTTTGTAAGAGCCGTGGTGTATATGATCATGCCAGTCAGTTCAGTAGAAGTGCCTACTTTACAAATTTAACGATCACACCTGCTTCGTTGCCAATGTGTGACTATGACAAATTTACCAATTGTCAATGTGAAGCATCCTCTTTGAAAGAAAAAACAAAGCAACAACTCATAAATGAAAATTGATCATTAGGATCTCACTGATTTTTTACTTACACACACACACACACACACACACACAATTTGAACTCCTCCCCACCCTATGTCCCCTACCATGTAACTACCAGTGTCGCAATAACACATTTTTGATTGTATTGTTCCAAACATTCGTGTGGTTGTTTATTGTTGCGTATGGGAAACAACAACAGCAAAAGAAAAACAGACAGAACCACTAACAAACTGTGAAATCTTCACTACTCTTAATTTCGTTCATTCAGTCATTATTTTGTTTGTCTTTTTTTTATTATATTTATATATGATTTGGTAGATGGAATAAGATTGAATGATAATGACAATAATAATGATAATATTAATAATCGAAATATTTTTTTCCGGTGAATTTTCTGTGTAATTATTATTGTTTGTCCATCTCTCTCTACATTAACAAAACTTGATCATTGTATGCAGAAAAAAATGAACGATAATATATGAATGAGATAAAAAAATATGCACACAAAATGTACAATTTAAACAAAAATATGCGCATATATACATATATGTGTGTGTGTGATACTGGTGAATCTATCTTTATTCTGTGTTTATTCACCTAATGACCGACTGGAGCACTTCTATTAACAAAACATAATATACACATGCTGTCATAAGAAATCCTGTGCTACTGCAGTTGTCAATTGATCATTTATTCTTTGATTGGTATTTAATTGCATTCATTAAAATCAGCTGGAGTTTTTTCAACTACTATTCTTTTATTTGTGCTACTTCATTGGTACAGTTCAATCTATTTAAAAGATTATTATCATAATTATTGTCTTTTTAAGTTTTAGCAATCAGTGATCAAGGATGGTGGGGGGGATATTAGATATGTCCTACTTTTTGAGGACCAACTCCGAGGGAATGAACTATTCATTGAGTTAACCGACTCAAGCTCACAGTAATCACTGTTTTTGTCAGACAGGTGACACTTTTAAGGTTGGTTGGTTAAACTGGAACTGTCTTATTTGGTGAAAGTGCGCTTCAGTGGCACAGCGGTAGGAATGCTCACCAAGTACGTCACACGGGGTTCGACCCCCGACCGACTCACTCCTTTACCTTGCTAAAATAGTAATAATACTGGTAAAGAGGGAAGGTTGGGGTTTGAGGCTAGCACTCCCATCCCGTAAAAATAAACACGACGGCTACCGAAACTTCAAAGCTCTAGCTTGAAGTTTTATGTTCCACTGTGGACGTAAAGGAATAAAACTAGTTAATCGAAACGATGCAGTTTCTTACGATGTAGTGTTGCCTTATTAGATAAAAGTTGAGTTTTTTCTTCAGTTAGGTTTCTCCAATAGCCTATAATAATATCGACCATTCTTAGCTTGGAATCTCAAGTAAGTTCAATTTTTCCGGAAGGTTTTCTTGCTTTGGCAACAGCAAGTTTTTTTTCGGTGGATTTTTCTCGATGGGAGACAATTTATTTTCGAGCACATCTTTAGCCTAATCAACCAAATACAGTCATTCCATTGCGTTTGAACTCACGTCATATAAAGTGTGATCAAACTTCTCTTCTGAAGAAATGGTTTTGAAAATCTGACCTCAATTTGTTACTTCATCGTGAATCTTTAATAATGCAAATCATCCGAGCTATGTTGACAAGAAGTCTAAACCCACGTGTGTGTGAGAGAGAGAGAGCAACAAATCAAGTATATTGTGTGGGTGCGTCGGTGGCATAGCGGTTAGGACGCTCGCCGACCATGCATATGGTCCAGGGTCCGATCCCTGGCCGACGCACTCCTTTACCTCGCTAAGCCAGAAGTAATGCTGGTGAAGAGGAAAGGTTGGGCATGAGGCAGGCTAGCAACCCCATCCTGTAAAAATAAACACTGCTACAGAAACTTCAAGCCACTAGCTTGAAGCCCTATGCTCCACTGGGGAACGTGAAGGATAAAAAGAAAAGAAAAAGAAAGTGTGGGTATACATAATCCTGCTTATCAGTCTCTACTGTATTATACAGTACAGTATTATACAGTGTTCAATATCTTAACGTTCACTGTATAAGTCAACTACTGTTCCTTCAAGTTGGTTGGAACACGTTAAAGTTGTATTATCGTTTGGATTTGAAGAGTTATGTTTGCTTGCTTTGCTTTCTGCGCTGAAGTGGTGAGTTACATCGTTGTCTTCGGGTAGCCAACAGATAGGTGAAAAATTTTTGACTCAAAGCATAAGACCGAACTATTTCAAACAACCATGTAACGTAGTTTTAGGGCTTCTTGATGATTGCTTCCAACAACCTAATACTGAAATACCTCATCGGGGTGAAATCTAAGTTGATAATCACCCAAAAAATTCCCATTGAGTCATAAAGAAAGTAAAAGACAAATTCAGCGAGGAAAATTTTCTTTATCGACGAAATTATTTTCAAAGGCTGTACAGTCGTGTTTATATTTACCAAAAATTTATAGTAGTCTAGTATTGAGTAATATGGAGCGACATAATTGATATAATTACTCAGAAGTGGCTTTGGAAGTAAAAAATAAAAGCTGTAAATTTTTATTTTTTTTTTTTATTTTTATTTACAGCTTGATTCCACACCGTATTTTCAGTACAAGTGTGAAATTTTCAGCATGGATATCGGTTGCCCAAATTCAGGCCGACCATAGATATCGGGTGTGCGCCGGCAGGGGATCGAACCCCGGACCATGTGCATGGTCGGCGAGAGTCCTAACCACTGTGCCACCGTGGTCTATACTAGTAATGATGGTAATGCAACCTAATATTTTGGGGTGGACAGGGGAATAATCCAACTCCAGGTCTTACATAGGCTTAAGTCGAATTTTGTCAAGGTAGCCTGTATTTCGTGGGAGATTGTCTTGTCTTTCTCCACAATTCGTTGTTTTATACACCGATTCTTTTCCTGCATCATAATTCCTTTATCTTCTACCAGCTTCCAAGTGTCCGCACTCAGGCATTTCTTGCCTCAAATATCTGTACAGGTTACTCTACGCATGACTTTCAAAGAATTCTAGTGTGGTTAACTCGGTGATGTTGCTTAGTGTGTCCAACTTCTTCCTGAAGTCGTTTGTAGCTTCGTCTCTCATCTTCTAAGTGGTAAACTTGAATTACGGTCTGTTTCCAGCTCCTTTGAAGGCTTTTATCTTGATCTTGAAGGTTCTTTTCACTAAATAATTGCGTGAGCCCACATTTGCTCTTCTTCTCCACCTTGTGTTCAATTGGCTCCGTTTCTACTTTCTTTAGATTGAAATAAAGTCTATCTAGATTTTAGTCTGTTCATCTTGTTAAACCTATGTCGCTTTGTGTTTGTTCTGTCTCCAGTTACTAAATCACTTAGGGCGCAGAAATCTGCAAGTAGTTCTCCGCTCTCATTCATTTCGTTAGTTCATCTCGACCTACGATGACTTCTCCTCTAATGTTGTCTGCTCGCAGTTTCGCATTCACGTAACCTTTCAGCGTCATCCGTTCTCGAATTTCGGTATCTTCCCGATTACACAGAAGAATACGTTTATTTTTTTCTATGTTTTGGAGTTTCAGTGGTGATGTAGTGTGTTTCATTGTTTGAGGCTGCAGACGTAGTACTCAATAGCAATTTTAACCTTATCAAATTTCTAACCATTTCTTCCTTTATGCCGTTGAGTACTACGTAATTTACAACTTTTATTTCTTACTTCTTCAACTAAGTCAATAATTTCAACTTGAAATTTGCATGACGTTTGACCAGTAGCTCTATGGTACCCATTTTAATGCTCCTGTTTCATACAAACTATGTCACCAGCATACTTTAAAGTTGTCTAAAGTATCACCTCAGCATAATGCGTACTTGATTGTGGAGTCTATTTCTTGTTTTCGTGCATTCATATCTTTCAATAATACCACGTTCACGGTAATTTTTTTTTTTTTGGATTTACAGCTTGATTTCCACACCGTATTTTCAGTACAAGTGTGGAACTTTCAGCATGGATATCGGTTGCCCAAATTCAGGCCGACCATAGATATCGGGTGTGCGCCGGCAGGGGATCGAACCCCGGACCATGTGCATGGTCGGCGAGAGTCCTAACCACTGTGCCACCGTGGTCTATACTAGTAATGATGGTAATGCAACCTAATATTTTGGGGTGGACAGGGGAATAATCCAACTCCAGGTCTTACATAGGCTTAAGTCGAATTTTGTCAAGGTAGCCTGTATTTCGTGGGAGATTGTCTTGTCTTTCTCCACAATTCGTTGTTTTATACACCGATTCTTTTCCTGCATCATAATTCCTTTATCTTCTACCAGCTTCCAAGTGTCCGCACTCAGGCATTTCTTGCCTCAAATATCTGTACAGGTTACTCTACGCATGACTTTCAAAGAATTCTAGTGTGGTTAACTCGGTGATGTTGCTTAGTGTGTCCAACTTCTTCCTGAAGTCGTTTGTAGCTTCGTCTCTCATCTTCTAAGTGGTAAACTTGAATTACGGTCTGTTTCCAGCTCCTTTGAAGGCTTTTATCTTGATCTTGAAGGTTCTTTTCACTAAATAATTGCGTGAGCCCACATTTGCTCTTCTTCTCCACCTTGTGTTCAATTGGCTCCGTTTCTACTTTCTTTAGATTGAAATAAAGTCTATCTAGATTTTAGTCTGTTCATCTTGTTAAACCTATGTCGCTTTGTGTTTGTTCTGTCTCCAGTTACTAAATCACTTAGGGCGCAGAAATCTGCAAGTAGTTCTCCGCTCTCATTCATTTCGTTAGTTCATCTCGACCTACGATGACTTCTCCTCTAATGTTGTCTGCTCGCAGTTTCGCATTCACGTAACCTTTCAGCGTCATCCGTTCTCGAATTTCGGTATCTTCCCGATTACACAGAAGAATACGTTTATTTTTTTCTATGTTTTGGAGTTTCAGTGGTGATGTAGTGTGTTTCATTGTTTGAGGCTGCAGACGTAGTACTCAATAGCAATTTTAACCTTATCAAATTTCTAACCATTTCTTCCTTTATGCCGTTGAGTACTACGTAATTTACAACTTTTATTTCTTACTTCTTCAACTAAGTCAATAATTTCAACTTGAAATTTGCATGACGTTTGACCAGTAGCTCTATGGTACCCATTTTAATGCTCCTGTTTCATACAAACTATGTCACCAGCATACTTTAAAGTTGTCTAAAGTATCACCTCAGCATAATGCGTACTTGATTGTGGAGTCTATTTCTTGTTTTCGTGCATTCATATCTTTCAATAATACCACGTTCACGGTAATTTTTTTTTTTTGGATTTACAGCTTGATTTCCACACCGTATTTTCAGTACAAGTGTGGAACTTTCAGCATGGATATCGGTTGCCCAAATTCAGGCCGACCATAGATATCGGGTGTGCGCCGGCAGGGGATCGAACCCCGGACCATGTGCATGGTCGGCGAGAGTCCTAACCACTGTGCCACCGTGGTCTATACTAGTAATGATGGTAATGCAACCTAATATTTTGGGGTGGACAGGGGAATAATCCAACTCCAGGTCTTACATAGGCTTAAGTCGAATTTTGTCAAGGTAGCCTGTATTTCGTGGGAGATTGTCTTGTCTTTCTCCACAATTCGTTGTTTTATACACCGATTCTTTTCCTGCATCATAATTCCTTTATCTTCTACCAGCTTCCAAGTGTCCGCACTCAGGCATTTCTTGCCTCAAATATCTGTACAGGTTACTCTACGCATGACTTTCAAAGAATTCTAGTGTGGTTAACTCGGTGATGTTGCTTAGTGTGTCCAACTTCTTCCTGAAGTCGTTTGTAGCTTCGTCTCTCATCTTCTAAGTGGTAAACTTGAATTACGGTCTGT